TATATATAAAAACTTAAAAATACTAAATTGTTATATTTATTTCTAAAAAAGGGTAAGTATAGGGGACTTAATCAAATTGAAAAGCAAGTTCAAAGCTACAAAGAAACCCAATTGTTCATTTTTCAATTTGATTTTATGAGAGTTATTGATCTAAAATTATGATATAAAGATTATAGAGTGGTTGAAAAATGATTGTAATCATGTTTTCTTAAGCGAAAAATATATAAATAGAGGAGAATAAAAGAGGATAAATATCAAAAAGGGGTTGAAACCCCTTACAATATCACTGAATTGGTTAAAAAATTATAAATTACGGTATGTTTTAAGAGTTCAATATCACTCCAGTACTTCCTCAAATAAATATTAAAATTTCTCAAATTACCTTGTTCTTTAGAAACCATAATTATTAGGGGTAGACGTTATAATGAAACTTCGTAAGAAGGTTTCTCAAGAAATCTATGAGGATAGAATCGCGTCCCAAAAGGAAGATCGATATTTTACTACCAATCACAAGTTTTAGATTACGTGCAGTATTCATACTAAAAATTATGATCAAGAGTTACTCTACCAATCGCCATCTACTTCAGAGATACTTTCTGAAACACTTTTCAAATACAAGAGTGCACTATCTTCTCAAGAATTAGTGAAGTATAATGTTTTTGTGTAGAATAACAAAGACAAAAGTAGATCGATCTTGATAAATTTTATCGTATCGTAAATGTAAAATACTCATATAAATGCAAATGTGGGAGAAATCAAGAAGATGCTAGTCAAACATGAACCAGTTCATAGATCTTTGATAAGTTTCCCTAAAAAGGCCTCTAGGACTCCAAAATATCAAAGTACCCATAATTATTCTAACTTCTCATCACCCAAGTGGGGTAATTTGAGGATTATGCAACATTTATTTAATGAAGTATTTCCTTGATATAGAAATTTAGAAGTACATCTTTTGACCCCTTTGATTATATTGCATAGGTTTCAACTCTTTTTTTATATATTTTTTCAAAAAATAATAGAGAAAAACCCAAAATTGGATCCAAGAGATTTTGTGTTTTGATTGAAAAAAATTATTCGGGCTTTTAAAGGTCATTGTTATAGGGACATATTTAACAAAATTTGGTGAAGTCATGAAAGATAAATCGAATATTTTCAATTTGGATTTCAAAAAACTAGAAATTTGATATCTTCTAACTAGGTTTGTAATTGGAAAAAAATTATATACAGCAAAGAGGGCTCAAAAACCAACATTTTGATATTAATTTCGTGATTTTTTATTGAAAAAGAGGGAAAACACTTTAAAATGACGCATATGGGTTTCATGAACAATAAAACACTTCCTTTTTAGCCACCCCATTTCTAGGGTGACTTAGACCCCCATCTTGAGCGAACTCAAGCGGTTACAAATCGCCCAGGCAATTTTTGGACAGCTTTGAAGTGCCAGGAAGTCATTAAACAGTTAGATGAAAAAATTGGATCATCAATTTGGCTCATATTGAATTTGGACTGTTGGGCTTATACTATTTCATTAGTTAATGGACGGACATATTATTTTTTCATATATATATATATATATAGAGCCTAGGCTCTAAACAATCAAATTAAAACGTACTTTCAAATAGTATCAAGAAATATGGTTTCAATATTGGAAATCATTGTGATAGCTTTAAAATATATTTTCATTTTTATTTATAAAGTTTGAAGCTTAAAAAATTAGTGTAGATCGACATATCTATGAAAACTTGAAAATTAACAGTCCAAAAATGCATTATAAAATACACTATTTCCAAACCTTGAAATCTATTTTTTTTATCATGTCCATGCATCTTGATGTCAAGATGATCAATTTGATGATCTTTGGGCATTAAAACAACCTCTTCTAATAAAATTTTTGGGGTCGGTTGATTATTTAGATTTATGTTTTCTATCATTTTGACAAAGATTGGAAAGTATTTTGGCAATTGTTTATTTATTTTTTCATTTTTCTATTATTTTTTTAGAAATTTTAGAATAC